ATTTACATGATCAACCGAATCATATGGTTACAAACTGTCTTAGAAATAATCACTAATAAAACCAGCAGAGCCTTGACTATTCTGGCCTGCCAAGAAACTCTGATGAGAAATGCTATCTATCAAAATAAATTAGCTCTCAACTACTTGCTAGCAGCTGAAGGAGAGATCTGCAGGAAATTTAACCTTACTAATTGCTGCCTACACATAGATAATCAAGGGCAAGTAGTTGAAGACATAGAGATATGACAAAACTGGCACATGTGCCTATGCAAGTGTGGCATGGATTTGATCCTGGGGCCATGTTTGGAAAATGGTTCCCAGCGCTAGGAGGATTTAAAACTCTTATAATAGGAGTTATAATAATAATAGGAACCTGCCTACTGCTCCCTTGTTTGATACCTGTACTTCTTCGAATGATAAAAAGCTTCATTGCTAACTTAGTTCCCCGAAATGCCTCCGCACAAATGTACTATATAAATCACTATCAATCTGTCTTGCAAGAAGACATGGGTAGTGAAAATGAAAGTGAGAACTCCCACTAATAAAATGAGTGAGAGTCTCAAAAGGGGGGAATAAGGGAGGTGACCACCTCTCATATTGTCTTATGCCCAATTTCTGCCTCCAAAGAAAGAAGAAGTGAAAACTAAAAGGCAGAAATGAAATCCACAGGCAGACAGCCCGGGCATCGCACCCTGGGCCTGGTAGTTAAAGATCGACCCCTGACCTAATTGGTTCTGTTATCTTACAGATTACAGACATTGTATAGAAACGCACTGTGAAAATCCCTATCTTGTTTTGTTCCGATCTAATTACCGGTGCATGCAGCCCCCAGTCACGTACCCCTTGCTTGCTCAATCAATCACGACCCTCTCACATGCACCCCCTTAGCGTTGTGAGCCCTTAAAAGGGACAGGAATTGGTTACTCGGGGAGCCCGGCTCTTGAGACTTAAGTCTTGCCGATGCCCCCGGCCGAATAAACCCCTTCCTTCTTTAACTCGGTGTCTGAGGAGTTTTGTCTGCCGCTCATCCTGCTACACTTTTTTTGTTTGCTTAAGACGGAGTCTCACTCTGTCACCCTGGCTGGAGTGCAGTGGTGTGATCTCAGCTCACTGCATCCTCTGTCTCCCAGTTTCAAGTGCCTCTCCTGCCTCAGCCTCCTGAGTAACTGGGATTACAGGTGCTCACCACCACGCCCAGTTAATTTTTGTATTTTTAGTAGAGACGGGGTTTCACCATGTTGGGCAGGCTGGTCTCGAACTCCTGACCTCTAGTGATCCGCCCAACTCAGCTTCCTAAAGTGCTGGGATTACAGGCTTGAGCCACCATGCCTGGCTGTAATACTTAATTCTTGACAGCCTCAAAGATGACCATGGCAGCCAGCTTGGTAGTCAGGTCGAATTTATTTGTTGATGTAGATCCCTACACAGAGGATGCTGTTGATGTCTCACCGAGATCCCATTTCCTGGCTGATTCCCTAGAACTATTTCCATGAGAAGTAAAATCAAATTTTATTAATGCCAAGAAAGTATTTATTTACCCTAAGGAACAAATGGTTTGTTCTGTAGGGACTCATCCCCCAGCTGTTGTGAATTAGTTGCTATCACTCACAGCTGTCTGATATGCCAACCTGAAATAATCAAAAGCATCAGATTCCAGTTTTAAAGAGCTTATTCAAGAGAAAAGCCAGGAATAGCTATTCCGGGATGCACAGATTCTAGAGAAATGGAGTCAATGCTCTGAAGTTAAAAGCTAAGTTCTTGCTTGTATAGGAAGACAAAGAAATTTAACGGGATTGCATTTTCTATACAAGGCTGGTATATGAGTTATAACAAATTAATGTGTGTGTGTGTTTTTTTTTTCTGTGTGATTTTCTTTTTGTTGTAGTTGGTTTTCATTTTCTTTCCAGTTTAAAAGCATGTATTTAACGTTCCCTCTAAAGGCAATGTAACAGCCATGAAGTCCTTATGTGAGAAAAGGAAGAGAGGGAAGTTAATTTATAATGAAAGTCAACAGCAGAGAAGGAAGGGTCTTCCCCGGCTCTTCAGCCACCTGTAACATTTTACAAAACAGTGCCAGTAAAGGAAAAGGTTTAATCTGTAATCAGAGAAACAAAAGCTGTGGCTTCCTGGGTTTGAGCTGCCTGTCACCCAACTCAGGCCCTGTAATTCACATTCCTTTAGGGCCCTAAATAATTTAATTGAGTTCCAATAGCTTAGTTTTCTTTTTATTTAGAGGTGAATTCTCACTGTCACCCAGGCTGGAGTGCAGTGGTATGATCATGGCTCACTGCAGCCTTGAACCCCGGGACTCAATAGATTCTCCCACCTTAGCCTCCTGAGTAGCTGGGACAACAGGCACATGCCACTATGCCTAATTTTTTTTTTTTTGTAGAGACAGGGATCTTGGTATATGACCCAGGCTGGCCTCAAACTCCTGGCCTCAAGTGATCCTCCCATCTGGGCCTCCCAAAATGTTGATATTGCAGGCATCAGCCAACTGTGTCCAGCCCCAGTAGCTTACATTTTGAATGACTAATTTTATACCTCCTTCAGAGAATTGCTGCCTCAGCTGAACAGGAGCTGCTTTGGGAGGTTCTGATCCCCCATCTTTAGGAAGCATCTTGCAGCCAATGGCTGTCTCAGATGGGGGTACAAAAGGTAGCTCCTTTCCTCAAAATGGAATGGGACCAATTTTGGTCTCATATTCCAGAGCGCCCTATGGGATTAGGCTGAAACTTGACTCCAGCTGAGCCCACATCTTTGTTCACCTCCTTCCTTTCCTTCCTACCCTGCTTTCCTTACTCCCTCTCTCCCAAGAGCACCCCAGCAAATCATGAGGACCCACCCTCCTCCCAGGGATTGTGATCTAACCAAATCCCTCCCTTGTTTGGTTATGTCATCAAAACAAAAGAAGAAATAATTCAAGTTTCCTAACACTTTCTGGTTTTATCCTGAGATTTTAAAATATGATGCTTGGTTTATGGCAAGAGACAAATAAGATTCCCTATTATCAATATTACTTTATTGATGATAATAATGATGATTGAGTCCTATTCCAGAGTGCTTAATTTCTTTTTTAAATTGAGATAAGAGTCTCGCTATATTGCCCAGGCTGGTCTTGAACTTCTGGCCTCAAGTGATCCTCCTGCCTTGGCCTTCCAAAGCACTGGGATTACAGGTGTGAGCCACCGCGCCCAGCTCAGAGGGCTTACTCTTTACATTATAGTGCCATCTTCTGGTAAGATTGAAGAAAAAGAAATCCAAAGTAGCTTCAAATGCTGGGCTTTAAGAAGCTGGATTGAAGTATGGATGAAGGTCTAAATCTTCCGGGTATGAGGAGTTGAGGCAAATCCTACAGAGACATTAACTTGTTCTTTTTTACATCACCTTAAATCTATTATTGTATCTTTATTATTCTGGGACATTCAGGCCCAAAGATACTCATTAAGTCAATAAGCTAAATTTAGTGACAAGTGCATGAGAATGAGAGTTAGGAAGCCTGATCGTGATATTTATTCATTCATGCATTTGCAAATCCATCCATCCGACAAATGTTTAAGATATGTGTCTCTGTGCTCGGTGATTTTATGTCAGGTTGATTCATTTTACTCAATCTTTACTTTCTCACATTTAAAATAGGGTTAACAATGGAAAACAGTGTGGCGATTCCGCAAAGACCTAAAAACAGAAATACCATGTGGCCCAGCAATCTCGTTACTGGATATATACCCAAAGAAGTATAAATCATTCTATCATAAAGACACATGCATGTGTAAGCTCGTTGCAGCATTACTCACAATAGCAAAGACATGGAACTAACTTAAATGCCCACCAATAGCAGGCTATATAAAGAAAATCTATGTCTTAGATTCACATATCTTATTTTTAGTGAGAAAGGCAAGCTGTAGAAGAAACAAAAATACATCATCTTATTTTTGGAATAAAGACAGCTGACCCGTGTACAACAAGGGTTTGAACTATGACTATCCCCTTATAGGCAGATTTTTTTTCTACCCCTGTTCTCCTTGGGACAGCAAGACCAAACCCTCCCTTTCCTCAGCCTACTCAAGGTGAAGCTGGCGCTGAAGACCTTTATGATCTTTATGATCACTTCCACGTAACGAAGAGTAAATATATTTTATCTGCTTCATGATTTTCTTAATAACACTTTTCTCTGAGCTTAGTTTAAGAATATGGCATACAATACATATAATATACAAAATATGTGTTAACTTTGTTATTGGTAAGGCTTCTGGTTAACAGTAGATTAGTAGGTAAGTTTTTGGGGAGTCAAAAGAAGTGAATTTTCCACTGCACAGGGTGGCGCCCCAACTCCCGTTGCCTACGATTGAGCCATATATAAAAATACAAAAACAATCTTAAGTATGGGTATATTTTTGAAGGGGACTGGATTAAGCCCATGGATAAAGGTGGAAGGGGTTGGAGAAAAAGGAAGGAGAAAAGGGTAAGTTAAATATTGAGCATCCCTAAAGAACCCTGGGGGAGGGTCGGGTGTCCCCTCTCAACCCTCCAAGCTCAGGTCCGTCATCCCGCCCTCCGAGTGCAAGCTCCGCTCCCATTCCCACCCCAAGCACAAGCCCGCCCATTTTTGCCCCTTGGGCGCCCGACCCGCCCCTACTACCACCCTCCAAAACAAGGCCCAGCCAACTCTGCCATTGGGGTGCAAGCCCCCTCATCCGCCTTCGGAGGGCAAGCCACACCCCACCCCGCCCCCGAGCACAGGCCCCGCCCCACTTTTGACCCTGGGCCCTAAGCCCCACCCCTATCCCCGTCCCTCGGACATAGGCTCCGCCCCCAGCACCACCCTCCATGCTCTGTGGGACCCTACTCCACAGCCTAACCTCATCCCCCGGGTAAGAATACTAGAATTTCGCCTTGGAGGCTAAAGAAGGTGTTAGTTTTTCTGCCGCCGCCTAAGGCTACTCTGGCCACTACAGCCGGAGCCACAGCCACTTCCGTTCCCAGCGGCCCCGAGACCAGAAGCGGAAGTGAGCGCGGTGGCGGCAGACGGCGGCTGAGCTGTGCTGCGCGGCGCCGCGCGGCGCGGCGCGGTGGGAGTGTCTCCGGCTGGTCTGCAGGTGTGGCCCGGCCCCTCGGGAGGGCGGGGAGGGCTCGGCCGGCGCGGGGAGGGGCTGGAGGGCCTAGAATAGCTCCGCCTGTCTGAGGTGCTTCCTCCCTGCGATCATCCCCGGGCCGGCGTGAGGCCCGCACAGCCGGGGCCTCGCATCTGGGCGCCCACCGCCCGGTCTGTCGCTCTCAGGTACCCCCCGTCCGGGCAGACAGGGCTGTCATTCTATCAAAAGGGAAATCCCAAACAGTCCAGGTCCCACGGCTCAGGAATGTGGTGACACCGGCCCCAGCCCTCACCTGTCCTTTCCAATTTTTAGGGGAAGTGCATAAAGAGGGCCCTACCTTGCCTATAGTATGCAAGATAACTGCAAATTAGTAATCCACGTTTTATTTGATACGATACTTACTATTATCTAGCTTTGCAACTGGAAAGTGAGGTCTGGGTCTACATGTGCAAACTGGTTTGATTGGCCAAATTTACTTAAAAAATTGAGTGCATCTTTCTATTAAGGAATGAATTGGATGACGAGAGATTTCTTTTGGTGACTGACAATTTGAAGTATTTTAGCTTAATATTTGTTAGCCTGGCTTTTCATCTCTTCCTTTCTTTAACTTTTTCTTTCTCATAAGAAAGCTTTTGGCCAGGCTTGGTGGCGCACTCCTGTAATCCCAGCACTCTGGGAGGCCGAGGCGGGCAGATCACCTGAGGTCAGGAGTGCGAGACCAGCCTGGCCAACATGGTGAAACCCTGTCTTTACTAAAATACAAAAATTAGCCGAGAGTAGTGGCGGGCGCCTGCAATCCCAACTACTTAGGAGGCTGAGGCAGGAGAATCGCTTGAACCCCAGAGGCAGTGGTTGCAGTGAACCGAGATCGTGCCACTGCACTCCAGCCTGGGTGACAGAGCAAGACTCCATCTCAAAAACAAAAACAGCAGCAAAAGGAGGAGTTTTAACTTTTTTTTTCTTTATTTTCTATGTTTGAGACGACTTTTACTTCTGCTCTGGGCATCAAGTTTTTCACTGTGAGGTGAGGGTGTCTTAAGAAAAGTTGTTTGTCAGTTATTTCACAAATATTATTATCAAGGAAAAGTAAGACTGTTATTCAAATCTTTTCAAGTTGGCTCCAGTCCTTCCCCTAAGCATGTGAATCACGGAGCTTCAAAACTAATGGGACTTCAGGGAAAACACGATATAAACTTTGCAAGTAGTGGAAATTCAAATTGAGTTGGCCATTTTGAATTGGGATGTCTTTTTTTTTTCTTTTGAGACGAAGTCTCGCCCTGTCGCCCAGGCTGGAGTGCAGTGGCCGGATCTCAGCTCACTGCAAGCTCTGCCTCCCAGGTTTACGCCATTCTCCTGCCTCAGCCTCCCGAGCAGCTGGGACTACAGGCGCCCGCCACCTCGCCCAGCTAGTTTTTTGTATTTTTTTTAGTAGAGACGGGGTTTCACCGTGTTCGCCAGGATGGTCTCGATCTCCTGACCTCGTGATCCGCCCGTCTCGGCCTCCCAAAGTGCTGGGATTACAGGCTTGAGCCACCGCTCCCGGCTTGGGATGTCTTGTTTAATAATGGGATTAAAGCTCATGTCTACTGAGAAATGAGGAAAAAATTAACTTCAGAGGAAAATCATGCATCAGGCTTCAGTTTTATGAGTGAAGTGTTTGTTTCCAAAAAGAATATATGCGCTTGCCTTGCCTTTTTAAAAAGAATTAATATTTAAAAAAAATATTTATATTTATTTTTATTTTTTGAGACGGAGTCTCGCTCTGTCACCCAGGCTGGAGTGCAGTGGCGCAATCTCTGCTCACTGCAAGCTCCGCCTCCGGGATTCACGCCATTCTCCTGCCTCTGCCTCCTGAGGCCCGGCTAATTTTTTTTGTATTTTTAGTAGAGATGGGGTTTCACTGTGTGAGCCGGGATGGTCTCGATCTTCTGACCTCGTGATCCGCCCGCCTCGGCCTCCCAAAGTGCTGGGATTACAGGCGTGAGCCACAGCGCCCTGCCAAAAAGAATTAGTATTGTTTCTTAAAGATACCTGAAACTGTGTGATTATGTCTTATGAAAGACAGGCATTTTAAGTTGTTATTATATTTGATTTTTGTGGTATCATATTGTCTTTTTTTTATTTTGAGACAGAGTCTTTTTTGAGACAGAGTCTCACTCCGTCAGCCAGGCTGGAGTGCAGTGGCACTCCAGTGCTCGCTGCAGCCTCCTCCCCCTGGGATCAAGCAATTCTCCTGCCTCAGCCTCCCGAGTAGCTAGGGTTACAGGCGTGTGCCACCATGCCTGGCTACTTTTTGTATTTTTAGTAGAGACGAGATTTCACCATATTGGTCAGGCTGGTTTGAACTGCTGACCTCAAGTGATCCGCCCACTTCGGCCTCCCAAAGTGTTGAGATTACAGGTGTGAGCCACTGTGCCTGGCCACCTGGACCTCATTCTAAGGCCATGGGGAAGTCACTGAAGTTTGAAGTAGAGGAGTGACATTATTATGTTTGTGATGTAAACAAAACACTAGCTCCTGGATTGAGCATGGAGTTTAGGATGGACAAGGATGAATGCAGAGTCCATATGGGAGGCTGGAGAAGTTCAGGGCTTGGATGATGGTAGCTGGGGCTTGATGACTGTGGAATTGGAAAAGTTGGAATGTTTGAGATGCCTGTAGGAGGTAGAATTGAGAGAATTTGATGATGGATGCATTCACTTTAGCACGTAAGCAGGGTCTGCAAACTGTGGCCAGTGGGCCAAATCTGGTCTGATGCTGGCTTATATAAATAAAGTTTTATTGGAACACATTTGTTCATGTGGCTGTTTTTGCCCTGTGACCATATAATTAAGTGGTTTCATCAGAGACCATATGGCTCACAAATCCTAAGACATTAATTACTTAGCCCTTTGCAGAAAAAGTTTACCACCCCCTAATATGTAAAGCACTTAGTATTCATTAAGCACTGTGCTAGTGACTGGATGTGGAGTTGTGAAAAAAGTAGATACAGGTCTATACTTAAAAAGTTTACATCAGGCTGGTTGCGATGGCTCACGTCTGTAATCCCAGCACTTTGGCAGGCCTAGGCAGGTGGATCACCTGAGGTCAGGAGTTTGAGACCAGCCTGGCCAAAAGGGTGAAACCCCATCTCTACTAAAAGTGCAAAACTTAGCCGGGCGTGGTGGTGCATGCCTGTAATCCCAGCTACTTGGGAGGCTGAGTCAGGAGAATCACTTGAACCTGGGAGACGGAGGTTGCAGTGAGCCGAGATCACGCCCCTGCACTACAGCCTGAGCAACAGAGTGAGACTCAAAAAAAAAAAAAAAAAGTTTACGTCATAGTTGGAGAGAGACAGGCAATAATCATTTAAGAGATAAATATCAAATCACACCTTCATATAGGCAGTGGAGGGAAAGTAGATGTTCTTAGAGGTATTTTGAGGGCAGCTAGGAGTTAAAATGATCCTTTGATGACATGGGAAGAGTCAGTAGAAGTCACTAGGCGCTATTGTTTGAAAGGGGGCTTGGGGCCCAACATGTTGCTTATGGAGGCAGATGTCCTGTTGTAAGGGTTTTTATTGTGGCCACTCTGCTGGAGACCCCCCAAAATGCTCTGCTTCCGTCCTCACCCCTTCTTTTACCTCAGTGTCTCTTTTACTGCAGGGAGGACACCGACTGAGACCTCAAACCCTGGCTCCAGTGTCATGGTGAGGAAGCTGGGGGCTCCTGTGGTTGAAGGGGTGGATACATAGGATAACTATGTCCTCTGGGCCCTGTCTTCTCTCTCCCCACTTCCCTGCCCAACTGAGGAAGAAAGGGGAGGGCGAGTGAGGAGCAGCCTCATCCCTGCCCTAGGGGACCTGGGGATGTCCTTCTGTGCCTGACGTCTAGAGGGAAGCTGGCATGGAGGAAGAGCCCCACAGCAGACCCCAGGGCTCTGAGCGGAGCTCCTCCAGGGCCAGCCTTGCCATCCCTGGTTAGACCTATTGAAAACACATGTGGCCATAGAAATATAAATTCAGCTTAAATTTATTAAGATTCAATACATTTAGCCAGGCATGGTTGTGTGTGTCTGGAATCGTAGCTACTTGGGAGGCTGAGGTAGGACGATAGCTTGAGCCCAGGAGACTGAGGCTGCGTTGAGCTAGGATTGTGAGCTTGTACTCCAGCCTAAGCTACAGAGTAAAACCCTGTCTCTTAAAAAAAAAAAAAAAATTAAAAAGTTTTAAGTGCTCAGTTTCTCAGTCGCCCCAGTCACATTGCCCAAGTGCTCAACAGCCACATGTAGCTGGTGGCCCCTTTCTGGAAAGCGCAGGCATGGAACATTCCCATCAGCAGAGAGTGATGTCTGTTGGACAGCGCTGCTCTGAAGAATTCTGCAACTAAAAGGCCATACAGATTCTCAGATGAGGCCGGGCGTGGTGACTCATGCCTGTAATCCCAGCACTTTGGGAGGCCGAGGCGGGCAGATCACTTGAGGCTGGGGGTTCAAGACCAGCCTGGCCAACATGGTGAAGCTCTGTCTACTGAAAATACAAAAAAACAGCTGGGCGTGTGGCGCGCGCCTGTAATCCCAGCTACTTGGGAGGCTAAGGCAGGAGAATCACCTGAACCCGGGAGGTGAAGGTTGCGGTGAGCCAAGATTGCGCCACCACACTCCAGCAAGACTCTGTCTCAAAAAAAAAAAAAAAAAAAAGACTCTGAGATGCAATGGAAGTCCTACTTTCACAAGTATGAAAGATTATTAAGGACATAAGTCTTGGGGAATCCCAGGGAGTTCACAGAAATTAAGCGGTCAAGCCCAAATTTGTGATGCTGTGCCAATTTGTGATAAGGAGTTTAGGAAAAACTCTGTAAGCCAGGAAGGACAGGCTCTGGCATCACAAGTCAGTGGAGTTACACAGAGAGCCAAAACGTACACTCTAGGATTTGTCCAAATGTTGAAAGAAAGTGAACATTTCAGCTTGGTGGCCCATGTGATCCCTGTCACAGCTACTCAGTTCTGCCATTGTGGCCTCAAAACAGCCATTGACGCATTGTAAATAAATGCACGTGGCTGTGTGCCAAGAAAACATTATTTACAAAAATAGGCGTTGGGCTGGATTTTCCACGCCTGCCGTGTCTGAACATTTTCTCTTCTCCAGTGATAACCAGTCATTCTGCTCACTGGTGGGGGCGGTCTTTGCCAAGCCAGAACGTGTGTGCTGTTTTAGGAATCAGTCACCTTGGAGGATGTGGCGGTGGAGTTCATCCAGGAGTGGGCATTGCTGGATAGTGCGCGGAGGAGCCTGTGCAGATACGGGATGCTGGACCAGTGCAGGACCCTGACCTCCAGGGGTAAGGCTGGCGTCACCTGGCTCCTTCCTGTACGCAGGCACTAAATGCTTCTCAAGCGCCTGCCATGTGAACAAGACAGACGTGGCTTAGGCTTTGTGGCGCTTATCGTCCACAGGATGGCAAAGCTTCATCTGTTGCACTGCCTTCTTTCCCTCTTTAGTAAGGCCCTGTTTTGGTCTCCTTGAATTTGGTCCCAGGCTTCCGAGGTGAGAGAGCCTCAGCCCCTTGGGGCAGAGGGGAGGGTGTTTGTGGGTTGGGTCCTGAGTTCATTAGCTACTGGGCAAGATCCCTTTGTGACCCATCACACTTGCTCAGCCCAGAGAATCTGAAGCCCATGTTGAAGCTGAAGGAGAGTCTGAGTTGAAAAACAAGAGTTTGTTTTCCCCTGCAAGCCCTCCCTCCCTCAGCCTGTGTCTTTCTTCGTGTGCAGGAACTCCACCATGCAAACCCAGTCGCGTCTCCCAGCTGGGGCCAAGAGCAGAGCCAAGGGCAACAGAACGAGGGATTCTCCATGCCACGGGTGTAGGTGAGTACCTAAGACAGGCTGTGGATTCCCTGACCCGCCTAGCTGGGTGGTGTGCCCTGGGAAGTGTCAGGCTAAGAGCATTTTCGAACGCCCTTTGTTCTGAGGGGACACTGAAGGCTATTCGGAGTGAGGTTTCTCAAGTTCCTTTAGCTTCTCTTCTATTTTCACTTTCTAGCCCTCCTCTTCTACTTTCCTTTGGTTTCAGAAAAAGATTTGTTCTAATTTCTCTTAAAAAATTAGAGGGCCAGGTGTGGTGGCTCATGGCTGTAATCCCAGCACTTTGGGAGGCCGAGGCTGGTGGATCACCCGAGGTCAGGAGTTCGACACCAGCCTGGCCAACATGGCAAAACCCTGTCTCTACCAAAAATTAGCCAGATGTGATGGTGTGCACCTGTAATCCCAGCTACTCGGGAGGCTGAGGCATGAGAATTTCTTGAACCTGGGAGGTGGAAGTTGCAGTGAGCCAAGACTGCATCATGGCACTCCAGCCTGGAGGATGGAGCGAGACTCTGCCTCCAAAAAAACAAAACAAAACAAAAATTAGAGCCATAAGTCACACACCATGAAATTCACCCCTTTAAAGTGTGCAGTTCAGTGGTTCACGACCTTGTGTAACCATCACCACTACCTAATTCCAGAACAGTTTCATCACCCCAAGTAGAAACTCTGTCCCCATGGGCAGTTACTCCCCATTACGCCTCCCTCAGACCCTGGCAGCCACTAATCTGCTTTCTGTCTCTATGGGTTGTCCTGTATAGACATTTGTATAATGGAAATCGTATCATAAGTAGCCTTTGGTATCTGGCTTAGTATAGTAATTTTGTGTTGCAAGTAAGTTATAGACTGGGTAGTTTATAAACAATAGAAGTTTATTTGACTCCTAGTTCCGGAGACTGGGAAGTCTAAGGTTGAGGGGCTGCATCTGGTAAGGGCCTTCTTGCAGCATCATAACATGGTGGAAGACATCATGTTGCAAGAGAACAAGAGAGGCCCAGACTTGTTTTTACAACAAGGCCACTCTAGAGATAACTAACCCCCTTCTGAAGTAACCACATTAATCCATCCATGAGGGCAGATTCCTCATGACCTAATCACCTTTTTTTTTTTTTTTTGAGACAGAGTCTCGCCTTGTCACCCAGGCTGGAGTGCAGTGGCGTGATCTTGGCTCACTGCCACCTCTGCCTCCCGGGTTCAAACGATTCTCCTGCCTCAGCCTCCTGAGTAGCTGGGATTACAGGCGCCCACCACCACACCCGGCTAATTGTTGTATTTTTAGTGGAGATGGGGTTTCACTATGTTGGCCAGGCTGGTCTCGAACTCCTGACCTCGTGGTCTACCTCGGCCTCACGAAGTGCTGGGATTACAGGTGTGAGCCATTGTGCCCAGCCACCTAATCACCTTTTAAAGGTTGCAGCTCTCAATACTGTTGTATGGGAATTGCTTCCAGCCCATGAACTGTGGAGGACACACTTAAACTACAGCAGTATCTGTCTTCTTTCACTTAGCCTCATGTTTCCCAGATCCATCCATGTTGTAGCATGAATCAGAACTTAATTCTTTTGTAAGGCTGAATAATATACATTGTATGGATAAGCTACATTTTGATTATCATCAGTTGATAAGACAGTTGGATTGTTTCTACTTTTTAGCTATTGTGAATAATTTTGCTGTGAACATTTGTGTACAATATTTCCTTTTTCTTTCCTTTTCTTTTTTTTTGATAGTGTCTTGTTCTGTCGCCCAGGCTGGAGTGCAGTGGTACGATCATAGGTCACTGCAGCCTCAGCCTTTTGGGCTCAAGTGATTCTCCCACCTCATCCTCTTGAGTAGCTGGGACCACAGGTGCATGTCCTCATGCCTGGCTATTTTTAATTTTTTTTCTAGAGACCATTCTTCCTATGTTGCCCAGGCTGGTCTTGAACTCCTGAGCTGGAGTGATCCTCCCACCTCGGCCTCCCAGAGTAGTGGGATTACAGGCGTGCGCCACCGTGCCTGGCCTTGTATACGAGATTTATGTAGACATGTATTTAATTCTCTTAGGTATACACTGAGGAGTGGAATTGCTGGCTCATATGGTAATGCTGTGCTTAACTTCTTGAGCAACTGTCATACCACTTTGCAAAACAGGTGCACCATTTTACATTCCCACCAGTGGTGATGAAAGTTCTGACTTTCTCCACATTCTCACCCATACTTGTCGTCCACTTCCTTTTTAAATTTAACCTTTCTATGTATGTTCTTTGTCTAGTTCTTTCTTGCTCTTTTCTCTAATAACATCTGCTTTCTGGAAATAGTCTCAGTCCTCATAGAATTCTTAGCTAGGAAATTGCCTCTCATTTCCCCCTCATTCCTATGACTGCCAGAGTCCACACATAGCCCTACACACAGATGCTGTCTTCCCTTTCAGGCTCTTCCCAAGTCTAGGGTCGATATTAAAAGCTGGGCTGGGTGTGGTGGCTCATGCCTGCAGTCCCAGCACTTTGGGCCGATCACTTCAGGTCTGGAGTTTGAGACCAGCCTGGGCAACATGGTGAAACCCCATCTCTACTGAAAATACAAAAATTAGCCGGGTGTGGTGGTGGGCGCCTGTAATCCCAGCTACTCAGGAGGCTGAGGCAGGAGAATCGCTTGAACCCGGGAGGCAGAGGTTGCAGTGAGCCGAGATAGCGCCACTGTACTCCAGCCTGGGTGACAGAGTGAGACTCCATCTCAGAAAAAAAAAAAAAAATTAGCTGGGCATTAAAAAAAAAAATTAGGTGGTGCATGCCTATAATCCCAGCTACTTGAGAGGTGGGAGGTGGAGGTTGCAGTGAGCCAAGATCGCACCACTGCACTCCAGCCTGGGTGACAGAGTGAGACCCTGTCTCAAAAATAAAATAAAAAGTAAAGAAAACATGTGACTCATGCCTGTAATCCCAGCACTTTGGGAGGCTGAGGCGGGTGGATCACAAGGTCAGGAGTTGAAGACCAGCCTGGCCAAGATGGTGAAATCCCGTCTCTACTGAAAATACAAAAACAAATTAGCCAGATGTGGTGGTGGGCGCCTGTAATCCCAGCTACTTGGGAGGCTGAGGCAGAGAATTGCTTGAAC